CACACACACACACACACACACACACACACACACACACACACACACACACACCGTATACAGGTTTCAAGATTGACAGGAGGACCTGAGATGGGTTTCGATTGGAAGAACTCATCCTAAACCTTTGAGATGGAATGTTCTGGATTGGTGTCAAGATAACAAAAGACTGATCAGAATCAACAGCCCATTCTAATCAGACGGAAGTACGTCTGCTATGAATGCCTAAACAAATGGAAAGACTCCAAACTTCCCATCAGTTGTGCCCTCTAGTTCAAACATCTTCCAGACCCAAGGATGGGCAGCAGGGTCTTCTCAACCCCACCTCAGCGCAGCAGGGCATGGCACGGTGCATTCCCCCAATTCCAGAAGGCAGGAGGAAGTACATATGGAGACAAGTCAGTTTTCTTGTCATTCTCATCGGACATAACAGGAAATGGCAAACCACACAGCATGCACCTGGGCCAAGCATGCATCAAGACCAAGACAAACAAGTTGAAAAAGTACCTCAGAAGTCACCTTGCAAGACAGTAACTTAGAGGTGTACTGGCAGAGAGGAAAAAGACCAGGGTTAGTGCACGGCAGAGACTCACAGAAGACCCGATAGCTGGGAACCAGCACCCAGCCAGGAGCGGATGGATAGAGAGTAGCTTCCGGAGACTGTTAACACGCCCACTAGGACTTTCATAATCTGATATTCATGTATTTAAAAGTTGGTATCTCTTGAAGCAAGTAGATATCCTGTTATTCATCAATAAAAATATCAGATACGCCAGACCTTGTTAATTCAGCTGTTGGCTTTCATTGAATATTGCCCATTGAATTAACAAGATTCCCTCCCATCTGTGTATAGCAAGCTGCCCACTAGCAACGTCCTTGACAGCCATTTGGGATTTGAGGCTATAGCCAAATGGCCTTTTATGCTTCGCTGAACCTTAAAGCAATCATATAGCCCTGTGGACTATGAAAAGAAGACCTTAATCATAGACAGGAGTTTGTTTGCAGGCAAGGTTTCCGGAGGCAGATTCTCTTAAGATGGTGCTATCTAGAAGACCACCTAGCCCTACTGACCAGAACTTTGAGAAGCACTGGGCCTAAACACAGTCCTGCAGCTCATAACACACTGATGAATCAGTTTCCTAAAGGATTTCTCGGGTGCCTTGGGGAAAAAGTCTAAATAGTTCATTGTCAGCACCCTCCAGTATATACTTGTTCCAGACCTAGGGCTGGCCACATCTTCTCTAAGCCTCTTAGCAAACATCCTTCCATCGTGAGTTGCTGACTGATCAGAGATGATATCAGACCCAGAGAAGAAGCACTTCCATTTAAGATAACATTTGTAGCTAAGAGGAACTGCAGTGATGACAGCATGGCCACGTCTAAGTGTTCAGTGCACACATTGTACAAAGGACCCAGGCTAATGAATGGGATGAATGGGGCTGAAACCCAGCTTCTTGCTCCCTTCTCTCAACAAAACCACAAGGGCTGGTGCTGGGGCACTGCCTCCTAGAAGATTCCTTTCTATGTACAGTATTTTTTTTCCTTCTAGCATCTGCACCCCAACAGAAAAAGCAGGAAATATGCAGAATACTTAGAATGTGGGGCAGTGCGAAGTGGTTCTGCTCACTCATTCCAGCATAGCTGCTGATGCATGGTTTGGAAACATGGGCAGAAAAGAAACAATATGTTATCATAATATACTTCAAAATGGCCATACCAAAAATACCTAAAGGCAAATTCTATAACTAAACCAGTGCTGCAAAGAAGAGCTGGCTAAAGTGATCTAGTGGACAAAACAAACCCAATAGGTTCAGGGAGGGGCTGCGGCGACTCCTACTGAAGCCCACTGGAAATGTCCCCTGCAGCCAGCAATCGTTCACCTCCAGGGAGCGAAGCTATTACTCCCTGAAGTTTAGGATCCACATAGGGAAAAGGCCTGGGAGGTGCCCGGGCTGCTGACTGTCCACGCTCATCCTTTCTTTACCACTCTTTACTTTTACAGCAACTTTCAGCATCTGACTTCAACTCCAGAAAACCAGGCCGCTTTAAAGAGTGAAAGGGATAGTATTCATAATTATGCTGGGTAGGACTGACCTAGGTAAAAGGGTAGTTTATCAAACCTGGCTGTCATCGTGGGGTCAGTATAATGGCCTTGAGGAATGCTAAGAGACTCTAGGAGGTGGCATCACACTCCAAGGCTGACCCTAGCCTCTTGGGGGCCCTGAGCAACAGCTAGCGCTTCAGTATCATTCCAGACAAAGAAAATACGGAGCACGTGGCTTCTTTCCTAGGCGAATGTGAAAACCATGTGCCAACTTCTCAGGGTTTGAGGGTAGTGGGGCGAGTTGGGTAATTTTTTTAACTGTCATTTAAAATGGCTCTTTCCTGCCAGCTGCACATGGGCAGAACACTGAGTGACATTTATAAGGATTGTCCAGAAGAGATTTCGAAGGAGTAGCATTTTATATGACAACATGTCTCATAGACATAATGCGTATGAGACATGAAATTTTCTACAGAGTAGGTCAAGCCATTCCCTGGAGTGTAGGGATGGCTCTGGAGTGCTTTCGTCCTTTTTGCCCTGTGTGGCCCCCAATGTCCCCCTCCACATGCACTGTCTGGTGCACCAGACTTACAGCGAGCTTGAGCTGGACTTAGTAGCAGGAGGACCCACTTCTTGACGACTGACATTTTTGAGATAGGAAGCAAAACCCCAAGCCCCACTCCAGGCATATTAAGTCACACATCTGGAAACTGGGTTTGGAACCGTGATGCGTGCAAGCCAGACAACTGTACACACATCCATGCCTACACTGGCACACCATTCACCACACTAACAGTTGCCTTCTGAGAAGTGAAAGGAAGGGAGGAAAAACTTACACTACTATCATCCATTCTCTCGCGCCTTTTAGATCTGTGTGTCTCATAGTCTTCCATGAGGGTCTGCATCAGGTTCTTAGGCCTCTGGGTTCCGGCAGCCTCTTCGGAAGCTAAGTCAGGCTGCAAGCTGGGACCTTCAGTGGTAGGGGATGGAGGAGGTTTGACTTTCTCTATTTTCCCTGAAACAAAACATGAAGAGAACACCCTTTCTAAGCTTATCTGCTCACGACTACTTTCAGAAAGAGAAAACTGGCGCGCGCACACACACACACACACACACACACAAATACCAAATAAAAAAGAAAAGCAACTATGACAGACAGTGGCATCAGGATAATTGTTAAAGACAGGCAGTTTCATTATCAAGAACAAAAGCATTTAAAAGACAATTATAAATCCATCCATCCATCCAAACAGACTTCAAGGATGCCAGGCCAAACACATCAGTTAGCGCAAACAAGCCTACAAGGAACTTTGCGTGAAGACGCGTTCTGTGGCAGATCACAGTATTAGATTGTCAGATGAGGCGGCGCCTTGGAGCCTTAGGGAACCATGACTTACAGATGAGGAAACATTACAGTAAGCAAGGGAAAGGCTGTGCTGAGGTTGCTGGAGGCAGGAGGAATAAGATTCTGGCTTCCTGGTTTCTGGACTCTATGTCTAAGGTGGCTAGTTGTCAGCTTATCTGTCAGGCTTTCTGCACAGGCTGTGAACTGCTAAAAACCCTTTAAATGAGAGTGATGTCTGCTTGTCCCATGTCCCCAGACACCCAGGAGAGCAGAAAGTATTTTCAACCTGCAGAAGAGGACCCTCCAATTTCACAATCACAATTTCGTGAATAACTTAGTGAAACCCAGTGCTTTGAATCAGCCCAACCAGACAGCCAAATAGTAAGATAATAATAATAATAATAATAAACTGAAGTCTCCAAATTCATCAAACCTGGCTTTTATGTTTTATGGAAATTAGGGAAAGTTGTAATGATCCCACAAACATGATAAACATCAACTAGTCCCAGAATAAACATCTATCAAGTTTTTGTCATCCTTGGTCCTTAAACTCAAACTTTTAAAAGAAATTCTAGACCTAAGGTCATTTCACCTCTGTGCATTTAGTATGATCCCCTGAAAATGGCAACAGGCATGAGCAGAAGCTTTGAGAAACAGTGTCGCACAGGGGAGGGAAACTCTGATTGAGTTTGAGTCCTCTGCTTTGCAACCAAATAATCCTGAGCCAGTTAGGTACTGTTTAGATCTCAGTTTTCCCATTTGTAAAATGAGCATGATAACAGATACTTGTTCTATAGACAGCTTCTTAAAGATTAAGCTAACACTGAAAAAGTTAATACTTGGGCCAGGTGCAGGTGGCTCACACCTATAATCCTAGCTACGGGGGAGATGGAGATCTGAGGGTTGTGGTTCAAAGCCAGCCCTGGCAGAAAAGTCTGTGAGACTCTTATCTCCAATAAACTACTCAAAAAAAGCTGGAAGTGGCATTGTGGCTCAAGTGGTAGATGTTAGCCTTGAGCTCAGGGACAGCATCCAGGCCTGAGTTCAAGTCCCAGGACTGGCACCAAACTAAATAAACAAAAATTAATATTTAGAACAGAAAGCATTCAATGAACCTAGGTACTATTTCACTGCAATCTCAAAGATTAATATGACTACAAAGTAAGCACGAACCACTCTGAGGGTATTGTGCAAATCATTTTTGTGATTCTTCTACAAATAGAAACAGACACCAACTTGCCAGGTTAATTATCATCATTTTCCAGTTCATCTTGTACGTGTCCAGATCATCTCCTGTAAAGCACTCTTCTAACATTAAACGTCTAAACTGCGGGCTACATTCCCTGCCTCTAACTTCAGCCTTTCACACATGCCCTAGTGGGCACCTATCTAGCAACAGTTTCTTTGCAGTTCTGTGAAAGCCATTTCACACATAGACTTGTATCTATCTGGTCACTGGGAGCATCTGTCTTCTCAATCAGACTGTGAAAATCACCTAAAGACACAAACCATTGCAACTGTCCAAGAGTCCTTTAGTTTATTTGAATATACACCTGTAATGGCCACTTAGTAAACATCTGTGGCCCTGGAGAACTGAAGGGAAGAGGTCAAATGCCCCAAGGCACATGAAATAAGATGGTCTAGGTCTAGGGCTGCAGCTTCAGATTCAATGGCTGTGTAGTCATAATGGGCATTAACATTAACGCGGTATTTCCTTCATTGTCTCAAGTCATTTATCCCTTAGAACAACTTGTGAATGTCGGTAGGGTGGATGGGGCTGATACCTGGGAATGGCTTAGAACATTGAGGCTCAGAAGCTAACTCCAGCCCAGCCTGGCAACCCAAATGCAGTGCTGATTATGGCCAAATTATATGGCAGGATGTCCTCTGAGAGCTGTAAGGAGAGCAAAAGGTACCTAAAGAAGAACTAATTGGTCAGCCATTATTAAGATGTTTTTATTTCTTTTTATTCTGATAAAATCTACCTCAAGGCAAGCATTACCAGTGAGAGCCACTAGAGGTCACATGACACAAGGATGGTTTTGCAGGTCTGGACAGCAGCCCTCAGAGAAAGTAGCTGCAGGGAGGTCTTGTGAGAGGGCTCCTGAGATAAAACCCTTGTCATAGCTTGGGGGTGGGGCAGTGCCTCAGATAAAGGAGGCACACTGCCTCATCCCTAACTTCTGCCCATCAGTCTGGAGTCAGTATTGCAGGTAGCTATCTTGGCTGGGCCCTATGATCTCCAAATATCTCCCCATAGCCATGGTATGGCTCAAACCCATGCACTAGAACGGTATGTGCCACTGTGGTAATCATATAGACTATTTAAAAAAAAAGAGCAGAGAAAGGACTGTTCTACACCCAACCCCTTCCTCAGAATCCTGAGTTTGCAACCAACGTTCTTGCGACTCTCACACAGGATGGTGAGAAACTTCTGGAACTCCTCCTCCAGGAGACCACACTGCAGATGTCATCACTGTTGGGGGCCCTGGAGATCAGCTTAAAAATGGTGCTACAGAAGCCAGGCGCTGGTGGCTCACGCCTGTAATCTTAGCTACTCGGGAGGCTGAGATCTGAGGATCACCGTTCAAAGCCAGCCTGGGCAGGAAAGTCCGTGAGACTCTTATCTCCAATAAACTGGAAGTAGTGCTGTGGTTCAAAGTGGTAGAGCACTAGCCTTGAACAAAGAGTTCAGGGACACGTGCCCAAGCCCTGAGTTCAAGCCTCATGACCACCCCCCACCAAAAAAAAAAAAATTCTTTGGCCTAGAAAATATACCTGTTAGAATCTCCAAACTCCTAGTGAAGGTTGTCTTTACCCAAGCACTTCCTCAGTAACCTGGTTCCATCAAATCTTGCTGTCTGACTGTTTTATTCACCTGGTGCATGTGTCAAGAGCAGAGAAACTCCTGGAAGTAGACTCCATTTTCAGTGACTAGCATCCTGCCATCTAGTTTCTCACCAGGCTGTACATTCCAGGACAGTTTTCTCGAAGGCACTGCTCTTGGGGAAAAAGAACAGATTGCCATACCAAGCTCAGGGCAGCCGTACAATTTCCACAAGGAAACAAGACTAAAATCAGATGGGAATTTTTGAGTGGAGGATGGGAAACAGTTCTTGAGTTTATTTCCTAAACATGATTTTGTCCAAATATCTAGATTAACTTTAGACTTTAAATTTCTAAATGATTTCATTGAAAGCAGCTTCATTTGGCTGGGTCGATTTGAAAATTGAAAATTATGTTTCTAAAATCATGTCTCCGTAACCAAACTAAAGAAGCAAATGTATCTATTATACAAATAACCTTGATAGATACTAAGTTGAAAGGGGGGATGGGGGGTGGGAAGAGAAGGAATGGGAGGGGCAGAGAGCAAGTGGGGAGAGAGAGAAACTGAGATTTGATGCTTGTCTTAAAGACAGAGGAAGGGACCACAAAGCCAAGAAATGCAGGCCATGCCCAAAATAGATAAAGGAAGGGAATGGATTCTCTGTAGAGCCTCGAAGAGGAACAGAGGCTTACCTGTACCTTGACTTTCACCCAGTGTTAGTCTGCTCAGACCACCATAGCAAATTATTATAGACTGGGTGGTTAAGCTATGAGTCTAATGTCAAGGTGCCACATTGTGGGGCTTTGATGAGCGCTCTCTTCCTGGACTAACAGTTGCCTTCTTACTATGTAGAGGGCTACCTTCTCTCACGGTGCAAAGAAGGAGCAAGCCTCCTTCTCTTCATGACCCATCATGGAGTTCCAACTTCATACCCTCATCTAAAGGCCTTACTTCCAAATACTGGTACACTGAGGGTTAGAGCTTCAACATGTGATAGACAGGACCACAGTTTGGTCCATCGCAGACACTCTAAGATAATAAAGTACATTTCTCAAAGCAGCGATAGGAAACCAACCCAATGTTACCTTGCATGCAACCACATGCACAGAGAGAAATAAGACAGGTAGTGGTGCTCCCTAGTTCTTGTCTTCTCTTATCTATGATGGGCATTTTTATTTTCATTTTACTAATTTTCTAATTATTTTCTCCACTAACACAAACTAACCTTAAAATATAAAACCAGGCTGGGCACCAGTGGTTCATATCTGTAATCCTAGCTACTCAGGAGATCTAATGACTGGAGGTTCAAAGTCAGCCCAAGGAGGAAAGTCCTTGAGATTCATGTCAAATTAACCACCGAAATGGTACAAGTGAACCTGTTGCTCGAATAATAGAGCCCCAGTCATAAGTAAAAAAGCTAAGGGACAGTACCCAGGCCCTGAGTTCAAGCCTCAGGATTGGCACAAAAAATAAACCAGTGATTAAATAAATATATAAAATTTGTTGACCCAGGTTGAATGCGGAAGAATGGAAGGGGTGACACTGACCAAGATACATTATACTTATAAACTGATGTGTTTAATTGAACCTCCTTTGCATAACTACTTAAAAGAAAATTTTAAAAAACTTAAATATAATTGGTCCTTGCTTCAACCTTCATCAGATCCACAGATCCACAGGTCTTTCTACATTTCCAAGCAGCACACAACCACAGAGTTTAGAAATTCTATCAACTCTGTTCTCTTCAATAACGGTACTTGGTGAGGCCAATTAAAAAGCAAGGAAGAGGGATGGAATTTCACTCCAGAGTAGCCAAGGCTGTCTCTCAACAGGGGCGGAAAAGAAAACTAGGAAGCATGAATCTGTGTTTCCTGTTGATTTATCAGAAATAGTCAACCACATTCTCATCCAGAGAAGGCAAGCCATGCATGCTTGGCTGCCCTTCAGGAGTTTCCAAACAAGACGGACTTCCCTTGGGCATGGGTGGCAGGCTCTGCTGACAAGAGGGCAAAGAGAAGAATCCACAATTCCTCCCACCCGAGGGAACCCAGAGGGAAGAAGGTGGATTATATGGCGAAACACAGCTGTCAGCTGCAACCCTCCCCTCCTTCCATAGCAACAGACTGAACTTAAAAAAAAAAAAAATCAAAGCATATGGATGCCAAGTTTGTAAAATTAATTTTAGCCAAGCTTTATTATTTGTGATTATGATGGTCCACGTACAGGGAGCCAAAGATCTGAACTCAAAAGATCCTTTGTTTCTACATTTCTCAAAAGAAGAGAAAGAGCCATCGCCCACTCTTACTTAAGAACCAAACCAAACCGAACAAAACCACCCACAAGACAACATGCCTTGGCCCAGGCTTCCTTTTCAAGGGCTTTCTTTCTTCATAGAGCACTGGAGTGGGCTTGCAAATATCTAAAGTGACTCACACACACGTTCCCACAAAGAAAGCGAGGAGGTCAGGCATGGAACTTATATTTCCTCTCCTCACCCTGCTTGCTGATGGCCACAGAGCACACATAGCTCACAATACAATTCCATCTGTGCCCATGTGCTGATGCCTTATTCTTTCATCCCTCCTCTGAAGGCCCCAGGGTGGGAGAATATAATGATAAGAGTCCTCAGATCCTAAACCTTGCTCAGGAATGAGAAATGTCCTTAGCCTGGTCAAGTAGATCTGGGGGCAAAGTGACTGCTCCAAGGGGTGGGGTGGGGTTGATGAGTTGCTGATACTGGATCTGCCCTATGAATAAACTACCAGAAAACCAGAAGTGGTGCTGTGGCTCAAGTGGTAGAACACCTGCCTTGAGCTGAAGAGCCGAGGGACAGTGCCCAGGCCCAGAGTTCAAGCCCCACAACCAATAAAAAATAATGACAAAATAAAAATTATATAGCTGGGTGGGGGGAGAGATGGGAAGGGATGTTAAGGGGGAAAAAATTAGATAGCTGACTACTGAAAATAAATACCTGAACTCAGTTGTTTAAGAGAGACTTTAATTCTAAAGAAGTTCTCAAGAGGGAACAGAAGCAACAGTCTACTGTGTGTTCAGTTTCTTATTCAAGTTCACAGCCATTGAAGTGCAATTCTTAAAGTAGTTTTGCTAAAATGCTCTTGGCATTTTCTTAAAACCTTTGAGCAACTGTAATAACAATAATTGGGAACTTTTCTATGCACCAAACTGTCTTACCCTTTTTGTGACGTAGGTACTATTTTATTCCAATTTTCTAGTGAGGGAATTGAGATGTATTAGGAGGTGAGAAGTACGCTGGCAAGCAGCCAAGTCAGAAATTTACAATAAATGCAGAGGAGTAACTCAAACTTATTTGGTAATGAGAAATAAAAGAGCAACTGGTAATATGTGATGTTAGCTGTGTACCAGTTTGGGGAAACCTTTATGTTTTCCTTCAAGGTCATGAGAAATAAAATCATGACATGAACTACAAATGGATTCTTTAAGGCTCTTACTGTCTGACTTTCTTCTCTGCCTTTCGGCTTCTCAGTCTTCCACCCACTTCTCCAAGTCCAGGCTTAGTCATAAAGATGATGCGGATCTGAAATTCCAATCTCCTTGGGAAAACCACAGCAAGTAATGACTTCTAGTAAGGAATACAGTAAGATTCTGCCCTGGCCCAGCTATCACAGGGTACATCCTGATCCTGAGCATTTAATTGGTTCTTAGTTCTTACTGGGGATCTTAAAAGAAGTAAGTCCTTTGATTCATTTCCTCTCTGTCAGTTCAAGACTATGTTTTATCTTTGTAGATGGCCAAGTCTGATTCCTTGGAATATGTTTCACTAACTTGGAGCCCAGAGTAAGTAATATGTGAGTAAGCAACAATGAACTCATGGTTGTCCCCAGCAGGATATGAAAACTACCAGGAGCCAACCCAGATCTCCTGGACCTATCCACAGAGCTGGCACAAGTAGCTGTAACAACAAATTCTGTTCATACAGAAGGGAATCAAGCAAATGGGACATGATCTATCTGCCTTTTCCAAAGTCCTACTGACTCAAAAGCCATGAATGGGAGGATTGATACAAGAAAGCCTAGAATCTGTATCTTCTCAGGAATTAGGCTGCTGGGTCAAACCACAGTACCTGCTCTTCCTAAACCCTTCAGAGTAATGTCTAACGAATTCTAGAATTTGAGGAGTCCTATTTTCATTATAAATGCTTACCTTTTGCCAAATATACTTCAATGTAGGCTTTTCCTACCAATTTTCCTCCTAGTAGGAAATATATTTTGGAACATATTTGTGGGTTCAGAAAGAAAGAGAATGAAAGAAAGCAATCATAACAGTCAAGGACCACCAGTTAACTAATTTAATTAATTGACACCACGATGCCAAACATGTTCATATTCAGTTAATGAAGCGAACATGCATCCTACTCAGACACAGATTAAGACGTCAGCTCCTTGCTTGCATATCCACTTCTTCTAGAGAGTTCGGAGAATGAAGGAGACTGTTTCTGGAGTGAATGGCTGAATTTCTTCCTAGGAAATGAACTTCCTGAAAGAACTCACAGCCAGGCTGGATTAGCATTGTGGTGATTCCTTTATCTGCCTACATCTTTGGACCTACCAGCCTACTTGTGGCTGGGGGGGCGGCGGGGGGAGTGGGGGCCACGCAATAGGAATTCAGACCTAAAGCACTGAGGAAAGAATTTAGGTCTCTGGGATAGCACTATGTCAGAGTCTCTGTGAGTCAAGCTCACTCACTCAGAATGTTACAAACAGAAAATTCTGACATTTACCATGGCTCTAAGAAAGAGGGTCAGAAAGAACTCAGAAAACACAGGTGTGAGGATGAGGCTGGGCGAATGAGTTCAGTCACTGTTGGCTGACGACAGGAGCTGTCCCCATGTGCAACAGGCGCAACAGAATCACAAGAGAGGCTGGGAGAAACAGGAGCCTGGGTTTGAAACCAGAAGCTACATTTCCTGCTTTGAGTGGCCTAGGGCAACACGAATCCTTCTAGACTAGTATCAAATGCCTTAAAAGAGAATAATACTACAGATATACATTCCTTTGAGCACAATTCCAAAATCCAAAAAAAGCTCTGAAAAAAAAAATTAAGCTTTTCCGTAACTTCCTTGGCAGTCAAACCGGCCATGAGAGGATATGAACGTCTTCTCTACTTATTTGGATAGCACCTAAGTTTCACAGCCAAAACTTAATGTGATGACAGAGTGCTGGCCCAGAAGAACCTAGGGAACGGGGCTTATGGCTAGAAAATGTATTCAGGGGAAGAATTAGTGTATCTCTCCTTCCTCAATAGATTTTCTGTCTTTCAGTGGATTTTATTTGCCTTCAGGTTTTAGGATTCCAGCCTATGACCAGCATGATTTCTCCCAGGAGTCAGGAACTGTATTTTTTTGTCTCATAACACATCATCCAGCCGAGTCACTCAATAAACCAGCTGAGTCACTCCTTCTGGCAGGAAATGTAAAGCAAGTGCAGGAGGGAATCAGCAATTTATCTCATTCACAAAACCCAAGTTGGAGCCAGCCATTTTGATCTTGGCCATGAATTGTTCCGTTTGGCTACTGAGAATAATGTGCCCACTTCCTCTTTGATCATGAATTTGGAGGTTACCTGAACAAACAATACAAGTTTCCAGACATGGATAGAAAGAGAATTGCTCCTTTTGCATTCACTTTCTATCTATGCATGTTGTGACTTCTGTGGAGTCATGATTACTATCTTTAAAGGCCCGAGAGATAAGGAATAAGGTGTGTGCATATCAATATGACTATTCACCTTGGCAATGAGATTGGCACTACTTCCGCCCAAATACAAACAGAAAGAAAAAAATGGGAAAGAGAACAGTTTTCAATTAACCAAGATAAGGTAGATCAACATTCAAGGAACGACATTCTTGCATCTGTAGAGAAAAACCAAACACAAGGCAGGCTCCCCATCCTTCCAGGATACCCTGACCCTCTTGTTGCTGAAATCATCCTGCCAGGAGTAAAGACTACACACACAACTCCAACCATCGGCTGGAACCACATTTCTAAAGCCTCGGTATTCAGGACGCAGGCTTCGCTTACCTGGGGCGGTTTTATAGCATGAGGCTCTGGAGGGCAGCGATGGGGCGTTCTTGGCCCTGGGGCTCGGTGTGCTCTGCAAGACCTGTCTCTGCCGCTTTAGCTCCTCTTCCCTTTCCTGGGCGGCTCGGATCTCTTCTTCAATCATGGACAAAGTCCGCTGTTTCCTTGACCTCAACTTGAAGGGCCCAACCATCACATCAGATTCTTGAGTAGCCAGGAGGGAAGCTGTGCTTCTCAGCTCAGCTGCCTCTGAGTACTTGCTGAAATAGCCTCCTTCTGGAGGCCTGGTCTCCTCCATGTTGACTGGGCCACTGGGCTGCACAGCCACAGGTGACTGGCCGGGCCCCCTCTCCCTGAGAGCCCTGTCCTCGGCAGGCAAGATCTTTGGTTTGACATCCCTTTTCTCTTGAACAGGAGAGGACACCTGAGGTGGGGCAAACATGCCTCGAGGCTTCTGGGATCCAGAAGCCCTGGCTTCAGCTCCCTCTAGAGTTGCTTCAGGTCCCTGGGATACGGCCTCCTCTTTGCTGGTTTGGGACCCAGCCTTGTCTGCTTGCTCAGCTATGGCTTGTTGAATGGCATTTTGTACTAGGAGCCCAGCCTGATATTCTAAGGGGTCATCAACGGATGGAGAGTCTGCCAGTGTGGAGGAAGGAGAATAGAAACCATGGTCGCTGAAGGACTTGGAGACCCCTTCTCGGCCTTCTGAGGGGTTGTCTGTCTGCGGAGTGTGAGGCAGAGAGAAGTCAGCCAGTGAGTTTTCCTGGAGGGCGTTGGGAGTCTCATTGGAGGCCCCGCTGTCGCTGATGTTGTCCATGCTGAAGTCATTGGACAGACTCTCCAGCACCGTGGTGTCCTGCGATCTAACCGATAACTCATCCAAGCCTGAGTCAAGCTCTTCTTGGGTCAAAGACACATTGACCGATCTTGAAAACTGATCCAGAATGCCATGTTCATCATCCTTGACCACGGTGAGGACCGCCCGGGCGCTGGTGAACTCTCCGTCCTCTGCCCACAGTTTGGCTAAGGGACCCCGTTTGGAGGGCTCGCTGTAAGGTCCTTCCTTTCCCTGAGGGGCTGTGCTGCCTGGGCCTCCTCCTGTTGTCTGGCTCTCAGAAAGCACACAGGGCGCTTTCTGCCCCTTTGCCACCGATGTGCCGTTGTCTTCTGGAGATCCCCCCATAGAAGCTGGCCGAAGGATGGTTGGTGGCTTGTCTGAGTGGATGGAGCCCAAAGGTCTGTAGAAAGGCTTGATGGAGAACAGCCTGGGTGTGCTCTGGCCCTTGGCCGCTGTTTGCCTGGAATTATCCATCTGTTGGAACTGCTTGCGCGCTGCAGAGAAATCTATCTGCTCTGTGACAATGGCCTCCTTGGTGTGTTCAGTCCCACCTGAACGGTCAGGAAAGGATGCAGGGGCTGCACAGAGCTGTGGCGGCTGCTGCTGCTGCTGCTGCTGCAGCTGCTGCTGCTCCTGCTGTGCCCTTCTCTCCTTGCGCTCCTTGTACTTCTTGTGCGACTCCAGATGTTCCTCGTCCAGCTGTTCCTCGAGGGTTTTTTCCTGGGGAGGATTCCACCATTTAGCTGCAATGCCAGGATTCTTCTTGACCGCTTGACTCCGGATGAGCTCTCTGCGCTCCTTCTCCAGCTCCAGCATCTCTTCAGAGGGCCTGACTTTGCGGACGCAGTATTGCTCCTTCACATGTTCGTCTTCCTCGAAGAGCTTCGAGGGTTTCTTGTCCTCGTGGAAAGCACGCAGCTCAAATTTGGCCTCCTTCTTGAGCGTGGTAAGTGTGAGTTCCCCGTCGCGGGAAGAACAGCGGGAGCTGGTGGAAGAGCTGGGGCTCGCAGGGGCCTGCAGGCTGTCTCCTAGGGGTGGGTCCGGGGTGTGACCGTTTGCTCGTTCTGCCTCTGCCATGGTGTCCGAGGGGCTTCTACTGAGTTCAATGTGAGGAGGAGCTGGCCTGCCAGCTGCTCTCTCTGCAGGTTCTGGCTGGGTGGCTTCGTGGGCAGGTGGGCCTTGGCTGCCCACCAGGATCGCTGCACCGGGCTCTGGGGAAGAGGTTCTGTTGTAGGTTCCATCCACAGCAGAGTCACAGCAGTTGGCCTCCAGCACCTCGTCTAGATATTGGATCTCCCTGGCCACATCATTCTCCAGGGACTCGTGGTGGTCGGGGAGGAGGCCATTGTGCGAGGGTGAATAGAAAGGAGAGGAGCGGTCTGTAGAGTGGAGGGTCGAAGTGACTCCAGAAATGCTTTTACATTCTGTAACAGACACCTCAATTTCCATGTTTTTGTGATCTGGGGGAAGAGCGCTGGCGGCGGGTGCCAGGTGATTGGCAGTGCAGTCTTCTCTCGCGTTCCTTAGGAGGCTATCATCCCGGGAAAGCTGGGGTGGCTTCTGAAATAAAGACAAAACAAAAGCCAGGTTACAGGGTGCCTCGCTCATGGATGTGAAGGCTGAGAAATTTGCTCACAACCAATAGGAAGAAAGTCTGGAAACAATAATGGTCCTTTGAATAATAATAGTATTTTTAAAATAATAATTCCTTTTCTGGGGGGGGTGTGTGCGCATGTGCATGCACCAGTACTGGGGCTTGAACTCAGGGCTCTGTATTCTCATTTAATTTTTTGCTAGTAGTCTACCACCTGAGTCACACCTCTTCTTCTGGCTTTTGCCTGGATAACTGGATGTGGGTCTGATGGATCTGTCTACCCAAATTGGCTTTGAATCTCAATCCTCAGGTCTCAGCCTCCTAAGGAGCCAGAATAACAGGTGCGAGCCACCAGTGCCTGGCTTGATAACCCCTTCCAATAATTCTGTAAATACTCATTTTGTGTGGGAACATGTGCCTAACTCTCTCCCAAGTTTACAGATTCCATTGTGTGTATGAATGGTCAATGGACACTAGTTCTTATTAAATGTTTTTGTCTTCCAGAACAGAATATACGTAATGTGCAAAATACTTCACAGCAAACTACCACAGACTTTCTAAGACTATTTATGTGTCCCCCAACTATAAAAAGAGGTCCTTTTATATGAATGATTCTTCTTTAAAAAATAAATATGATTCTCTGCCAGATGTAATGCAAGGAACTTTTGGAAAAAATCTTTCCACAATAACATGATGAAAAACAGTACACCCTTTGAGCCACCTCTAAAAGCTACAGTACCCCATTACCATGGCTGTAATTGACCATACGCATTATAAACACTATAACCAAAGCTACTGACTGTGCACTTCCGTCCTCCAGGACTGCATCAAAACAATACTCCTTAGTTACATATTGCTTTGCAAAGATAGTGGCCAACAGTTCCTTCCTTCTATGTTAAAAAAAAAAAGTTCTCTATGTGATATTCCTATTTGTGATTTATTCAACTATTTGCTTGTTTTTTACTTATGGCTTTATTGTTTTGTTTTGCTTGCTTTACCACTGGAACGTACAGACCAACAGAAAGAGACACACAGTGAGATTCAAGGTGAGAGCCTGGTTGCCTGAGGTGACCCCATGTCCAGCTTCACCCCACTAGTCAATTATTGCTAATGTTTGTGAGAATTGCTGAACTCGTCCACTAGCCCTTTGAACGTTGGGAAGAGAAAGAGAATCTGGAAGATAGCAGGAAAATGCTGGGAGTGAAATGTGGTTAAAAATCCCCCTTCTAGCCAGATGCCTATGACTCACATGTGTAATCCTAACTATTCAGGAGGCGGAGCTGAGGACCTCAGTTTAGCAAGACAAACAAATCTGAGACACTTTCATCTCCAACTAAACCAGCAAAAAGCCTCAGTGGAGCTGTTGCTCAAGTGGTAGATCAGCAGCCTTGAGCAAAAGGGAGAAGGGACAGTGCCCATCCAGACCCTGAGTTCGCACGCACGCACACACACACACACACACACACACCACAACACACACACACACACACATACCCCATTCTACTGGAACATTTTGGAACAGCTGGAGGGGAAAAAGGGGCAATGTAATATTAAAGGAAGCTAGAAGGCAAATAATTCCATATTTCATTTATTCACGAATCCCTTTATGCTGGAAGCTTATTATGCAGAGCCACGATAAAATTTGCACCAACAATAAACCCCAGACCCCAAACCAGGTTGGGTTTCCTATGCTTCCCAGAAGCACAAATCTACCCTAGAGTTGTTTTAGAAGTTGCCTCTATTTTTTTTAAACAAAATTTTTATCATGAAAATACTGTACAGGAGTTACAATTACATGGGCAAGATAATGAGTACATTTCTTATCAAGCATTGTTGCTTCCTCCTTTGTTTCCCCTTCCCCTCCCTTCGCATATCCTGCCCCCCCATATTCTCCTCCTCCCCCTCCCCCTAGCAAAATTGTAAAGTTCGTTTTTAAAGATAACGATTTGCACATGTCATTGTTGCAATGAGTCCACCTGTATCCTTATTTAAAAGATTTGTTTTTTCCCTTTCCCTCCACAAATTATATCAACTTCAAATACAGTGAAAGCAGAGGTTATATCATGGGGGAGGGACATACAAAGCAACAAAGAAATAATCTTATAAATGATGCTGGAGGGGGTGTGGACAGAAGGGAACCTTACTGCATTGTTGGTGGGAGTGTAAACTTGTTCAACCACTTTGGAAAGTAGTATGGAGGTTCCTCAAAAGACTCCACATAGAGCTCCACTATGACCCAGCAATCCCACTTTTGGACATTTACCCAAAAGATCACAAACAAGACCATACTCAAGCTACCAGCACAACTATGTTTATTGCAGCACTATTTACCATAGCTAAGATATGGAACCAACCCAGATGCCCCTCAGTAGATGAATGCATCAAGAAAATGTGGTATATATACACAACAGAATTCTATGCCTCCATCAGAAAGAATGACATTGCCCCATTTGTTAGGAAATGGAAAGACGGACAAAATTATACTAAAGGAACCCATGGTTTCCCTTATTTGTAATAACTAGTATATGTCTGAGACAAGCAGAAAAGGTCAGATATGTTGATGTTAGGTGAAATGAACCCCAAGATAAATATTCAAATGTTTTTTACTTTCATGTGATTGTTTCTAACATATTTATATGATGATTTCTTTGCCTCTATCTATTTGTGTCTTGCTGCTAATCACAGAGACAGCTTGTGTAGGCTAGTCTCCCACGAATCTGTGGAGAATCCTTTCTGCTACCATATATCACCCCTGTCTGTTTCTCAGTTCAAGTGTCACAGTTCAAGTATTCCATAGCAGACAAGCAGATTCATTGCCAGATCTTTCTCTTTTGGACTCAAAAACTATATCCTCTTTTCCAGGCATACTTTTTGAACTTGAAACATCTGTTTGGATGCAATCTTAAGAGAATCTGGAAGAGCATTTGACAGTACATTTTTGCCAAATCAAAAACTACTGCTTTTGAGTCAGAAATGATCATCAGCACTACATCTTTTGGGGTCTGCCAGACCAAGATTTTTGAACATGTCAGTTGCTGGTTAAAAATCAAAAGTTTGCACTGGAGGCCAGTGGCTCATGCCTATTTGGAGACTGAGATCAGAAAATGGAGGCTCAAAGCCAGCCTGGGCAGGAAAGTTCATGAGATTCTTATCTTTGATAAACCACTAAAAATGCTGAAAGCAGACTTATGACTCAAGGAGCAGAGTACCAGTGTCTAGGCCTTGAGTTCAAGCCCTTAGTACTAGCACAAAATAAAAATAGAATAAATCGTAAGTTTGGGGGTCCAGTGAAACATGAGATAGTTTCCTTTAAATCTGGACACTACAAGGCACAATCAAGAAAGCTGTCCTCCTTCCGGTGAGTTTTATGGCGGCTAATTCTGTTCTTTTCAATGATTCACAAATTTCTTCCTAACACTCAATTCCAACTTCAGGCAGCAGCTGCTCTAATACCCTTATCAACTGTTTATGCAGAGATGAACAACTCTTCCTTACTCAATCAAAAGTTCTGAGTTTTGGGGAAGTTAGATAACAATTATAACACAAGAAGAACCAATTCCCAGGTTTTACTCTCAGGAAAAAGAATTCATATTCCTGGGGCTGGGTAGGTGGCTCAGTGGTAGAGTGCTTGCCTTGTATGCATGAGGCCCTGGGTTCAATTCCTCAGCACCACATAAGCAGAAAAGGCTGGAAGTGGCACTGTGGCTCAAGTGGTAGAGTGCTCACCTTGTGTTGAAGAGCTGAGGGACAGTGGCCAGGCCCAGAGTAGGCCAGATGAATCAAAGTCATTAGTAAGTACCAAATGGTAAATGGAAATGAGCTGGGAATATGGAATCAACCTGGATTTGGCAAGAGTGTAGGCTTAGTATCATAACATGACATCTTGTTTAAAGCAACCCATACTTACTGTTACACCTTTGAAGAGAAAACCTGAATTTTTCTCCATCAGATGGGGTGAACTGATTCTGCAGTCAGATAAAAATATACACTCATTTTGGGGCTGGGAAGGTGGCTCAGTGGTAGAGTGCTTGCCTTGCAAGCCTGAGGCTTGCACCACATAAGCAAAAAGAAAAAAAAGCCGGAAGTGGCGCTGTGGCTCAAGTGGTAGAGCGCTAGCCTTGAGCTGAATTGCTGAGGGACAGCGCCCAGGCCCAGAGTTCAAGTCCCACGACCGGACCCCCTCCCAAATATATATATATATATATATGTATACACTCATTTAACTGGGAAGTTCTTTCTGGAAATGTTATCTCCATTTTTTTCAGAGGAAGATGTGAAAGAATCACCAAATTGAGTTTTCTAAGATCAAAGAAAATCAGAGTGCAAACCCCCCCAAAAAACTGGGGTGTGGGGGCCCCTCTGTGGGCAATCTCTGCAATGCCCAGTCAGCCCTCCAGGAGGAGCCCTAATACCACAGTACATGAATACCTCCTGCCACAGGTGTCCCAGAATAGCTAACCGCTAGTTAGGGTGTCTACAATGTTCTCGGAAACGTTTAGACAGAGACTATATAACACAGCTGTGTGTTTCTGAAATTAGTTTAAATTATATTCCAAGGGCAGGCAGATGGCCATCCAAACTGGAAACAAACCCTCAAAGAGCAGTCAACTAAGGTGTCATCAGAAATCCCACGCTCCACAGGTGGTGTTCTGTAGTACTTCAGCTCCCTTTTAACTCCTGCAGACCCCTGAAGCTTTGCTGACTAGCATAATGAAAGTGAGAAATGGGTTTTCTTGGGCGAATTTAGCGCCTTGTCCATTAGCAATAATGAATGATAGAACTAGGTGAGTTTGGGGGGAGTTCACCTGTGAGCATTGGAGATCTTCCCCACACCAGGCTTGTACCACATAGGCTGGGGTTTGAGAATAAACAGTTCTGTTTCCCAAGGACTTTCAGGGAAGCAGAATACTGTCTCCACTCAGAGTGGAATAGAAGCTTCTAGACCCTTAGGACCTTGAGACCTCTG